CGCACGCCCTGCCCCGCGCGCGCGCACGCCCTGCCCCGCGCGCGCGCGCGCACGCGGTTGAACTCCGTAAGAGCGTAGCAGCTGCAGGTGGGTGATGTGAAATGTCAGTAAAAATGTATCCAGATCGGAAACGCCTGTCTGGGGCTTCCATGAGGCTCCCGAGTCGACGACGTAGGGCGCCCCTTGCTTTCTTGTTGGCCAACGCGGACCGCGTTTCTGCTTGTGGAGGGTCTGAGGTGACGCCCGTCTCCGTTGCAGAGGAAGTGAGTGAAGAGGAAATGAGTGAAGAGGAGGAGCGAGAGGATGAACACCGCGTCTTGGCTGGTGAGAGGCCCCCCGCGCGGATCCACCGCCGCCTCGTCCGCCCTGATCTGGGCGCTGACCCACGTTCGAGTCGTGAGCGGGGCAGCGGCCTAAGAAATAGCCTTTCCCAGAGGCACGTCGTGCCCCGGGAGCTACAGGGAGCGCCTGGCTGGTGCGTCCCAGGGCCCAGCTGGCTCACGGGGCGCTGCTTCCGCCAGCACCCCGCGCTTGGCCGCTTGGGCCCACGGGGGCCGGCGTCCCTTAGAAGGGACAGTGCTGAATGAGCTCCATCCTGAGCGTGCTGGGCTTGGACACCAGGGGACGCTGGGAAACGCCAGTTCGGCTCCAACCACAGGGCCGTTGCTGACCAGGGGCTGCATGGCCTCCGCAGGCAGCCAGGCCAAGCCCTCTGGCCAGTGGCCGCAAGTTTTGGGCGGGCCTTGTGGCTCGCGACCGGTCAGTGGTTCACAGTGGTCCCAGCCCGAGCAGTGGCTCCAAGGCACAGTGCTCTCTGTCCAGGGCGGTGGGACGCGCACCCCGTGCCCAGCCCCCCGGGGCTCTCAATGTGGCTTCTTCCTGCACTCGCTGTTCCTCTCCAGAATGGGTGGGGTAGCCACACTTGCTCGTTCTTGGTTCGTAATTGGGTTCAACTTTTGAAGTTCCAGAGTCACGATTTGACCGCGATTCTGGAGAGAGCGAAGAGGGGGAAGAGGAGGTGGGCGAGGGCACGCCCCAGAGCAGCGCCCTCACCGAGGGGGACTTCGTGCCCGACTCCCCAGCCCTGTCACCCATCGAGCTCAAACAGGAGCTGCCCAAGTACCTGCCAGCCCTGCAGGTCAGGCGCCCTCCCCGCCCCAGGCCTGGCTCTGCTTTGCTGCTTGTGGACGGGGCCGGTTGCTGAGAGCAGAAACTGGGTCCCTGCTGTGGGTGTCTGTCAGTGGGCGGGCCTGGCCACTGGCCTCTCACGTGTCCCCGATTATGGTCCGGCCTCTTGTCCAGCAGTCTTGGGGGGCGGGGGACAGTTCCTGCGTCTGCAGCCAGGACACCCGCCAGGGGCCCCATGTGGAGGGGGCGGCAGCCTGGCAGGCGGTCAGCTCTGGGATCACTTCTGCCTCAGCCAGGGCTGAGCAGGCACCTGCCCACCTCGCCCAGTCGCTGTACAGGGGTCGGAGGGCAGTGCTATGAGTCAGCCCACGTTTTCTGTTGGAAAAAGTCGGTAACAACGATGCTGGAGGGAGGGGGTTAGAGAGGGCAGGTCTCCAGAGGGTGAGGGGCCTCAGGTGCTCCGGGCGCCCCAAGGCCAGTGGCCCAGCCCCAAGTGCCACCCCAGCTCCTGGGGGTTTCCTGCGCCAGCTGGGGGTGCAGTGCACAGGGTCACTCCTGTCCCAGCCTCATCTTAGGATGAGGAGGCTGGAGGTGGCGGGGTGGGGGGTTACCCAGGGCTGGCTTTTGGATAAAGGGGCACGTGCTCACTGAAGCGAGGAGAGCGTTCCCGGGCCGCTGCCCACGCGCCCTGCGGGCCCTCCTGACATGTCTATCCGTCGGGGCTTCCCTCTGGGGTGTGGCCCCGCTGCCACGCCCTCATGCTGGCTTCCTCCCAGGGCTGTCGGAGTGTGGAGGAATTCCAGTGCCTGAACAGGATCGAAGAAGGCACTTACGGGGTGGTGTACAGAGCAAAGGACAAGAAAACAGGTGGGGCAAGTCCCAGGATGGTCCCCCAAAGGGAAGGGGTGGTGTGGCGCATGGACCGGGTGGCCCAGAGTGCCAGCCAGCACCGCAGGGCGCCAGCACCTTCAGTGTCAGGGTCACTGGGTATAGTTTCCTACTATCCTGGTTGTCGCCCCTCCCCTGGTGCTGGGCCTCTGCCTTGCCTTATCTGACTGGTGCACACCTGAGCAGCTCGCCCCTTGGCGCTTCCAGAGGCCAGAAGTCGGCCTGACCACGAGGCTCTGTGTTGCTTGCTTGCAGCCTCAGGCAGGTGTGCACCCTTGGTGGGGCCTCAGAGAAGCAGTCGAGGCCCTGAGCACCTGGGGGAGGCCGGTTGGCCATGTCCCGTGATCGTGGGGAAACAGTGATGAAACAGGAAGAAGGTGTGGGTGGAAGAACGTTTGCTCAACGTTGGTTTTCCCGTTGCGCTCTTTTCAGATGAAATCGTGGCTCTGAAGCGGCTAAAGATGGAGAAGGAGAAGGAAGGCTTCCCGATCACATCGCTGAGGGAGATCAACACCATTCTCAAGGCGCAGCACCCCAACATCGTCACCGTCAGGGTGAGGCCGCCGGCCCACGCTCCTCTGCCCCGCGGGGCCCCCAAGTGCTACACCGCGGTGGCCGTCGCACTTAGGAGGTCCCTGCTGTCACCCAGTGTCTGGGCCCTGGGATTTCAGGTCTCTTGGGAGAGCCGGCGGTGGCAGGGCCAGCCTGGGACCCCCGGGCCATGGGACCTGCTGTCGTTTCCTAGGAAATCGTCGTGGGCAGCAACATGGACAAGATCTACATCGTGATGAACTATGTGGAGCACGACCTCAAGAGCCTCATGGAGACCATGAAGCAGCCCTTCCTGCCGGGTAGGGCCCTACGCCCAGGTCCCCTTGAGGGACGTCCTGCGCTCAGGTCGCCCGGGGCGGGAGTGCTGACCTGGAACTCTGACCCTGTCGTGCTGCGTGTGTGTGAGTGCCCGGGTGCCAGGAGGCTTGGTGGCTGCTGAGGCAGCCGATGACCCGGGGGACCAGCCGCGTGCTGCCGTGTCGCCATCCAGGAGAGGTGAAGACCCTGATGATCCAGCTGCTGCGTGGAGTGAGGCACCTGCACGACAACTGGATCCTGCACCGGGACCTCAAGACGTCCAACCTGCTGCTGAGCCACGCCGGCATCCTCAAGGTGAGCCCTGTGCGCGGCTCGGGGAGGGGCCGGCTCCCGGGCCTGGAGTCGCCACAGCCCGCCCTCTGTCCTCGCAGGTGGGGGACTTCGGGCTGGCGCGGGAGTATGGGTCCCCTTTGAAGGCCTACACCCCGGTGGTCGTGACCTTGTGGTACCGTGCCCCCGAGCTGCTGCTCGGTGCCAAGGTGAGTGTGGGTGTGCAGGAGCCTGCCCTGGGCGCCCTGACGCGCCAGCCCCCTGAGTGCTTCCTGACCCCCAGGAGTACTCCACGGCCGTGGACATGTGGTCGGTGGGCTGCATCTTTGGGGAGCTGCTGACTCAGAAGCCGCTGTTCCCTGGGAAGTCGGAAATCGATCAAATCAACAAAGTGTTCAAGGTGGGTGACCCTGGGGACGTGTGCAGGCGCCCGGGCCACGTGACCCTTCCCTGCAGGGCCCGGCTATCTGAGACACTGCCCTGTTTCAGGACCTGGGGACCCCCAGTGAGAAGATCTGGCCCGGCTACAACGACCTCCCCGCGGTCAAGAAGATGACCTTCACCGAGTACCCGTATAACAACCTCCGCAAGCGCTTCGGGGCACTGCTCTCAGACCAGGGCTTCGACCTCATGAACAAGTGCGTCCCTCCCTGCACCCCACCCTCAGCCCGCCTCTCCCCTGCCCAGCCCCGCCCCTGCCAAGTGCCTTGTTCTCCCAGGTTTCTGACCTACTTCCCAGGACGGAGGGTCAGTGCAGAGGACGGCCTCAAGCACGAGTATTTCCGCGAGACCCCCCTCCCCATCGACCCCTCCATGTTCCCCACGTGGCCTGCCAAGAGCGAACAGCAGAGGGTGAAGCGGGGCACCAGCCCCCGGCCCCCAGAGGGAGGCCTGGGCTACAGCCAGCTGGTAAGGGGCGGGCTGGCGGGAGGAGCGGGGTCCCCGAGACAGGGTTGGCCCGGCCGGGGCCCCACAAAGCCGCTGTGTCCACAGGGTGACGATGACCTGAAGGAGACGGGCTTCCACCTCACAACCACAAACCAGGGGGCCTCGGCCGCGGGCCCAGGCTTCAGCCTCAAGTTCTGAGGCTCAGAGCTGACCCCGGACCCACCTTGGGGAGCGCCGACCGCTGAGGCCCAGCTGGGACAGCGGCAGACACTGGAGGCGGCGTCTGGGTCCAGACCCCCGCCCTGCCCTGACCAGGTGCCGCCACTGCCACGGGGCTGTCGTGGACGCAACCTCAAGTCTAGGACTGGCTGTTGACCTCGTGGGGTTTTCCATGTTTTCATTTTATCTTGGTTTGTATATTTGTAGAATTAAATCACGTTTTCCTTGCCGTGGGAGGAAAGGCTGTGTTTTTTCAGATGTATCGGACTTGCCCTGCGAGGAGAGGGCGGGTATCCATACACCCACACACACACACTCAGCCACGGTGACCACCGGCGGCCGCCCCGGTCGGGTGCCGGCCGTGACTGGGAACAGAGCTGCGGGGGGGTTGGTACTTTCTAATCTTCAGCCTGCTGCTCCAGCACCTTCCTGCTTCTCACCCAGGGCCCCAGAGCCAGGCGTGCGAGCTCGCAGCCACAGCGGGTTTTTGTACAAGGTGGTTGCGTGTTTTAAGATGCAGTAAAATATTTTTGGAGGAAAGGTCTGGCATTTCCTTCTTTAAGTGGCTGGTCCTGTGCTGGGTCCTGGGCCTCCCCGGGGTGGCGGGGAGCCCCAGCCCCTACACTCAAGGAGGGTGGGGTGAAAGGCAGTCTCCGTGGGCTCAGCTCTTTGCAGCCCGCGAGTCCTCCAGCTACTGGTCTGGCTGGACATGGTGTCGCTTGGGCAGAAGGGGACTTGTCACTGCCCGGGGCCCCCAGCTGCACCGAGCTAGCTCCTCCTGCGGGCACCCCCAGCCTCCCCCACACACACACGCCGCCCGCGCTCACCCCACTCCCTTCGGGGAGGCCTTGCAGCCACAGGGCCCAGCCCCTTCCCAGCCCTGAGCCCACGCGAGACCCCCGGCCCCACTGGCTCAGCGCGCTGGCCCTACTGCTGGCGCCTGGGCCTCGGGTTACCCACTGCTCCAGGCCCGGCCCTCTCGGCCTGTCTCTGTGGACGGCATCCTCCCTGCAAGGAACTGGCTGCAGGCTCCGCACCCCGTGGCCCAAGACTGGCCGCCCACCCTCGCAAGAAAGGGCCAGGAGACTTGAGAGAGAAAGTGCTTTATCAGCATCCTCAGCCCTGCGGGCCGCGTTCAGCTCCGCAGGCGGACGCGCCAGGAGTAGGTACTGAGCACGTGCTGCCGCCGGCGCACCACGCACGTGTAGGTGCCCTCGTTGATGGCGTTGGCGATGATGCTCAGGTGCGCGTCGCCCAGCGCCAGGTAGCCGGGGTAGGAGAACTCCAGGGGCTCCTGGTCCTTGTACCAGCTGCGGGGAGGGCGGAGGGCTGGGCAGGGTCCCGAGTCCCCCGCCCACCCTCGGGTGCCCAGGCAGGGTCACTCACTACACTTTGCCTTTCTTGTGGAGGATCTTCTGGCCGCAGCGGAAGGTCACATTCCTGCCCTCGGGCACCAGCCGGATTTTGGTCCTGGGGGGCGGTGCGGTGGCAGCCACCGTGGGGAAGGGGAACTCTGCTCGTACGGGATGGGGGGGCAGAGGCCACATCAGTACCCAGCGCCCTGACCAGACGCAGGCCGGTGCCTGACACCCAAGCTCACCGTAGCAGAAGTCGCAGCTGCTGGGACACAGCCTCTTCATGAGCCTCTGGCGAGCGTCGCAGAAACCCCTTCGCGCCCAGGACGCGCACACGAACAGCCGGTCCAGGCAGCCTGCAGGGGGGCAGCCTGGACTCAGGGCCCGCCCGCCCCGGCCCCCGGCCCCGCCCGCCCCGCGGCATGTGGGATCTTCCCAGACCGGGGCACGAACCCGCGTCCTCTGCATCGGCAGGCTGACTCTCAACCACTGCGCCCCCAGGGAAGCCCTGACTTGTTATCTTGAATTTTCTCTACTTCATTGTACAGGTCCCAGTCCAATCTCTCACTCTCCTACTGCCCCTAACACCTCTTTCAAGGTGAGAACCACAGTCTCACTTGTCTGCTGAGCGGTGATCACCTTGGCCGCCATGTTACCTCCTTTTCTAAGCATAAGCCAGTGAAGGTTATTGAAGGTGAGCCTGACCCTGGGCTCTCAAGCCCGAGTCCTGTGTCGACAAGCTCCGGACTGCTTCCCCGGCCCAGCCCTCCGCCGCCCCCCACACCCCCGCCCGCCCGCCGGCCTTGCCCCCGAGGCCCGAACAGCTGCTGCAGTGCCGGGAGCCTCCCTCGGGCAGCCGTGGGAAGATAAGAGTGTTCCAAGCTGGCGAGGTGGTGAGCTGGCCCCCAGGAATGCAGCTCCAGCTTGGGCTCCAGCGGTGTGGGGGGAGGGGGCTTCAGGGCTCCTGGAACCCAGGCTTACGACCTCCTCCCAGCCTGCCCCGGCCCGCCTCCCTGATCCCAAATCCCAGCCATGACCCGCCCCCAAAGCCCTGCCGCTGTGCCCGCCCGTGGTGCGAGGGCCCCACGGGAGGCCAGGCCGGCGTCACCTTTCTTCCAGCTGTAGCGTGTGGAGCCCAGGACCCAGTACTCGCTGTCGTCAAAGTGGATGCCGCCGTGCGGGGGGAAGAAGGCGTGGGCCAGCTCGCCCGTGGGGCCGTCGAAGCAGTGGTGCGTCGGGGAGACCAGGCAGTCCGTGTGGTTGACCGGATAGAAGCCTGCAGGAGCACGGGGCTGAAAGGGGGCCTTGGGGCAGGGCGGGGACCGGGGGCACGGCGCCCACCTATGCGGAGGTCGCTGGGCTGCTCAGGGGCCACCTCGCGGAAGCTGAAGGGGGACACGTCACTCCACATGCGGAAGGCGGCGGCCAGGCCCCGCCGGGTCTCTCTGGGGCTGAGCAGGTTCCTCGGGAAAGAGAGGATCCTGGGGTGGGAGTCATGGTCAGGGGTGGCAGCCAGGCAGCACCGCTCCCCCCCCACCCCCAGGGCCAGGGTCGCACCTGTATGTGAGGTTGAAGTGATCCCAGCGCAGCCGGGTCGGGGTCAGCGTGTAGCGGCGTCTGCGGGGCGCCGGGGGGTGCGGCGGGCCAAGGCTTGGGGTGGTGAGCACACCCGCTGTCGGGAACACAGCGTCTCCCTTCGAGGGAAGCAAATGCCCCGTGGGGAGGCAGCAGGGACTGGCCCCAAGCCCCAAGCCGCGAGGAAATGGGCCTCGAAGGATGGGAGGGCGCGCGCTCCGGAGAGCGCTGACGCTCTCTCCAGGGAGGGACTCTTTTTGTCTTTCGGCATTTTCTGGTTTTCCACCCCGAGCCGGGGCTACTTAACAGCCAGAAAGAAAAACGTTACTAAAAACAGGCCAGGTCGGAGTGGGCGGAGCTGCCGGCAGATGCTGCCCACCCCCCCCCCTTCAACGGACGCGAACTCGCCGACTCAGGCCCGGACGGGCAGCCGGGGCCGACCCGCCCGCTCCCGCGCCCGCTCTCACCTGCGCTGCGCTCGCCACTGGCCGGTTCCCCAGGGCCCCCGGCCGGGCCAGCAGCACGAGGGTGGGGAGGAGGCACAGCGCGCCCAGCACGGCTCCGAGCAGACGGGCCCGGTCGTGGGCCCCCGACGCCGCTGAGGGGACGCAGGCCCCGCGGCCCATGGCGCCTGCGGAATCGCTGTCGGGGCTCAGGCGGCGGGGCAGCGCGGCGGCGGCGGCTCGGGTTACAGCCCTGAGGGGGAGGGCGCGCGGCTGCCCCGAAGGGAACCAGCTGGCCGCCTGCTGTCGGGAGCACCCCCGACACCTCCAGCCTGGGGTGCGGGGACCCGGGCCTGTGGGTCGGTGGCGGTGGCCTGGGCAGGGCCAACTGGGCGGGGTCACTTGGTGGGGGTGGGGGTGGTGTTGCGAGGAGGGCCCCGGACGCCAGGGAAGGGACGGACACCGGGGGCTCGGGCTTAGGCAGGAGTGGTCAGCCGGGTCCCCAAACTCGCTGAGAGTTGACTGACTTGGCAGCTTTTCTCCCAAACGGAGTCCCCCTGGACACAGGATGAGACCCGGCAGTGGGAGCTCCATCCTGGCCAACTCGGGACAAGTCCCCTGCAGGCGCTGGCTGACAGGGACCCCACGAGAGGGGAGGGATGCGACGGGAGGGGACGTGGCAAGTGAGTACCGGGGTGAGGAAGACGGAGAAGGAGGCGCCTGCGGAGCAAGGCTTGGGTGCCGGGAGGGAGGAGGACCTGCAGGGGCCAGCGGAAGGACCCACGGAGGGCGACAGGGACAGCGCACAAGGGGCGGGGGAGTGGGGGGCGCCGCAGGCATCCCCACCAGGCGCTACCTGCCAAGCGCGCGCAGGGCCGAAGTCTGAACGGTCCTGGGTTGGGGCTGGGGCACCAGGTGTCATGGGGGCGGAAGACTCGACGGGACGACTTTCAGGTCATGCCTGACTGAGGAGCTGAGCCAGGCGGGATGTAGGCGAGGGCGCCTCTGGGCTTGGGGAACCGGGATCCTGGGTGGGACGGGCCTCCCGCCGGGGCGGAGCGGCCGGGGGGAGGGGAGACGGGGTGGGGGCTGGGCCGAGCCAGAGGAGAGGCGCAGGGTCGGGGGAGGGAGGGGAGGGAGGGGAGGGCGGCTGGCCCTCCACGTTCTCCACCCAGGCCCTGAGCCCAGAGTGACAGTGGCGCGCCAGGCCAGCGGGGTCAGCGCCAAATGGCTGGCTGGCAGCCTTGAGGCGCCGGGGGAGCACTTCAGTGGTTCTTGGAAAGCGCCCGGCCGCGGCGCCCAGACCAGGGTAGTGCCCGCCGCCCCCATGGCTAAACGTTTGCGCCGACAAACCGATCGTCTCTGTCCTGTGCTCTGCCCTACTCCCCAGGTCCGTGTTCCACCTCCCACACTCAGTGGTCCTGAAACCCTGCCGGGGCTTCTAGCTTGAATCAGAGGCCTCGCCCAACTCCCCGCTTAGCCGGGACTGCACAGCCCGCCACGAGACCGGGTTCTGCTCTGGCCAAAGTCTGTCGTCTCCACAGCCCGCCCCAGGCGCAAGGAGGAGGCGCTGCTGGGGTTTCGGTCCAACCAGTGCTCTTGGACGACACTGCAAGCCCGGGCCCCATCCTTTCTGGCCCAGAGACCGGGATCCTGGCAGGACTCTGGACCCGTGAGTCCTGGGAAGAGCAGGACACGCAGGTCGGGAGGGGCCAGGCGGGGCCTCTGGCCGAAGCGCAGAGCCCAGCGCCCGGCCAACGGCGGAAGGGGCCAGGTCGGGATGGCCCGGGGTGGGGGACCCACGGCCCCGCCCCAGGCAGGCAACCAGGCGCAGAGTCCGTTAATCTTTTTATAAAATACAGAGCAGGGGCTTGCGAAGGCGGTGGCGGGGCGTGGCCGCGGACGAGGCAGGGGGCCCGGCTACACGAAGATCTGGATGCGGTCGCGGATGGGCTGGCGGCAGATGGGGCAGGCGCTGAGCGCAGCGCCGCAGGGCGCGCAGGCGCCGTGACCGCACTGGAACACGAGGCGGATGTGGCTGTCGATGCAGATGGGGCAGGTGAAGCGCTCCTCCATCTGCCGGTAGCGGCTCTGCAGCTCCTCCACCAGCTGCCGCGGTGGGCCGGGGGCAGGGGCAGCGCTGACCACCTCCGTGCCGTCTGCGGGAAGGGGTCCCGGTCAGAGGCAGGGGCTGTGGAGGCCCGGGGCTTGGGGGAGAACCGCGGGTAGGAGCGTGAGCCACGACAGGGGACGGAGCCGTGAACCGCGGGGCGACATGCAGAGGCCCACACCGGGGGTGGGGGGGGCGGGGGGCGCCGAGCCCCACCTGGGCGCAGCTTCTTGCCGATGGCCGCCTGGCACCTGATGCACTTTTTCATCCTGCGGGCACACTCTGCGGGGGAGCGCACGGCTGAGCGAGGCCCCCCAGCCCGGTCGCCGCACCCCCGCCCCGCCCCGCCCCTGACCCCTGCACTCACCCTCACACACCGTGCGGTGCTGGCAAGGCGAGAACAGCACCAACAACGCCAGCTCCGAACACACCAGGCACTCGGCGGCCTCGGGCCCGGACGGCGCAGCGACGTGCAGGTTGGTAACAGTGTTGGGGGCACTGAGCGCCAGCCTTGGGCCCTGGGCCGCGCCCCCGCCGCCGCCAGCCTGCCGCTCCCTGCGTGGGCAGAAGGGGCTTGAAAGGGCCCAGGGCTGCGGGCGGGTCCGCCCCCGGCCCCGCCTGCTCACCGGAAATGCTGGGCACAGCCTTGCAGGGCTTTGAGCAGGCGGCCCTCAGCTGCCAAGTCCAGCGGGCTCCGGCCGCGGTGGTTGGCGTAGCTCAGGTCGGCGCCCTCCAGCGCCAAGAAGCAGGCGACCGCCGCGCCCGCCGTCAGCTCCGTGCTGCCCAGAAGGCCCGAGGCCTGTAGCTGGGTGGCAGGACAGACGATGTGAGGGCGGGCACCTGGGAACACTGGCCTGGAGGGAGCCGGGCTGGCACCAGGCTTCAGAGGCCTGGGCCCCGCCCGAGACCCCCGGAGCCGCCGGAGGCAGGCAGGTAAAGGCCCCTGCCGGCAGAGGGGCCCGGGTCCTGACACACGACCCCCGCCCACACGGCACCCCGCCCCCTTTCCCAGGCTGGCCTGAAGCACAGAACCTCAGGAACACTGGCCACACGGCGGTGACTGGGGTCACAGAAGACACCTCCTGCAAACCACTGCGGCCCGGGCTGTCCCACCCTGAGAGGGCCTGGTCAGGGCTGTCCCCGAAGGTGGAGGTGGGCAGAGGCCACAGGGGCCTGCAGCCAGGTGCCACGGCCCACCTCTCAAGCACCCAGAGTCACGCTTCCTCACCCTTGACAGCAGCTGCAAGGCCCCCGGGTCCCCCCCGGCCCCATCAGTTGCCAGGGGCAGCAGCTGGTGACGCTGCAGTGCCACATGCAGAGCTGTGTCCCCCTCCTCGTCCTCGGCATTGACGCTGCAGCCAGCGTCCACCAGCAGTGGCACCAGCCCCACGTGGGCCTGCTGCACAGCCAGGTGCAGCGGGGACTGGAGCTTACGGTTGCGAACATTCACATCACAATGGCCCTAGGGGGTGGGGGGGGGCACAGGCTCAGCCCAGGGACACTGGTGGGTCCTGACACCCCGGTCCCCGGGCCCGCCCAGGACCCTGCGTCCACACCTCTCGGATGAGAACCTGGGCCACCTCCCTGTGGTCGTTCAGGGCGGCCAGGTGCAGCGCTGTGAACCCATCCTCCTTCTTGGCGTCCACCAGCTGCCGGGCCCGCGCCAGAATCCTTCTGACGGCTCTGTGGGAGCAGGGAGACGCGTCTGGGGTCAGGGGCGACACCAGAGTGGCCCAGCAGCACAGCAGGAGCTGGCTGCTGGCTATGCGTCCACCCCAAACTCACAGTGTATGGCCTTTGAGGGATGCATGGTGCAGCAGGGTGAAGCCTTGGCTGTTGGTGGCAGTGACGTCGATGCCTGGCACCTCGGTGAGGACCTCCACGATGCCGCTGGCGCCAGTGCCCGCCGAGATGGCACAGTGCAGGGGCGTGTCAGCATGGGCGTCCTGCCGGTGGTGGGCCAGTGATCACTTGGCAAGAAGATCTTGGCCACTGCCTCCTTGACCCCAGGGATAGGGCCAGGGGACCCAGCACTCACGGGCAGGTTGACGTCACAGCCGCACTCACAGAGGACCCTCACCACCTCCAGGAAGCCCCTCTGCACGGCCACGTGCAACGCCGAGCTCCGGGTGCCGTTAAGAGTGTTGGCCCCACAACCTGAGCTCAGGAGCACCCGGGCGGCCTCGGGCTGGTTCCTGGCGGGAGAGGAAGCAGGAGGGGCGCTGTGCCCACTGGCTGGACCTGCAGGCCCGGCCCCCCGCGCCCCGGCCAGGCCTCACCCCAGCGCCGCGTAGTGCAGCGCCGTGCTGCCCTCGTCATCCGGCAGGTCCACGCCCGCCCGAGCCTGCAGCAGCAGCCGCACCAGCTCCACCTGGCCTAGGTAGGCAGCCACCTGCAGGGCGGTCCTGCCATGGTTCTTGGTGTCCACCTGCCGGGAGGGCAGAGGGTTAGCCCCTGGCCCCGGCCCCTCCCGCTGGGGCTGTTGGGGCCGGGGCAGGGGTGGGGGTTGGCGGGGGCTGGTCTCAGGAGCTTGCCTGCTCCGGGTGCCGCCGCAGCAGGTCCAGAGCCCGGGCCACGTTGCCCAGGGCCACCTCCACCACCAGCCTCCCCGGGTGCTCCAGGTCACTCTTCTGGGCTCGAAGCTTGTCCAGGACGACACTCAGGGAGCCTGGGGAGGGCAGGGCTGAGGTTCGGTGGTGGCCAGGGGCGGCCCCGCCCCCCACCGGCCGCCCGCGCTGGATGCCCTCACTTTTGTTCTCCCGGGCGCGCTCGGCCACGTCCAGGTTGGCGTCCTCCTCAGGCCGGTAGGCCACCAGGCAGGAGGGGCTGAAGGTCCACAGCTTACCGCTGACCAGCACACCCAGGTTCCCATCTCCGAAAACCTTCAGTACTCTCCCGATGTGGCCCAGAGCCTGGGTGGGGAGAGGGCGGGGTCTCAGGTGGGCCTCCCATGGGCGAGGGAGCTGGGGGCGGGGAGGCAGGGGTGCGGGACTCACGGGGGCCATGTCATCTGTCCACTCGCCATGGCCGGCCTGCAGCCGCCTCACCATGTCGAGGTCGTCAATGACCCGGA